CCAACCTTCTTGACATCCCACCTACTGGTTCACAGTAGCAGCTTTACAGCTTTGACCGCTTTCATTCTATTTTCTGTAGCAATCATCAGTGGCCCATTTTACTCCCTTCTACGCTTAAAGTAAAACCTCAACTCTTTTTATTTTTATTTTTATTTTTTCTAAACCCCAACTCTTGCTGTAGCTACCAAGGGTGCTCTCGTGTGTCCCTGCCTCCTGTCGCTAACTTGCTCTGCTCTAATGTACGCTCTATGCCAACCACACTGGGGCTCTCCCGCTCAGGGGGCCCTGTACACGCTTTTTCTCTCTCCCCCAGGGTTTCTCAGCTTCAGCACTATTGGCGCTTGGGGCTGGGTGATTCCTATTGTGGGGGGCTGCTCTGTGAATTATAGAATGTTTGGCAGTGTTCCTGGCTTCTGCCAAGTAGATGCCAGTGGCGTCCACCCACACCAAGTTGTGGTAACTAAAAATGTCTCCAGACATTATCAAATGTCTCTTGGGTGGCAGAATCACCTCTGACTGCTCTACCTGAAATACTCCCTACCACTCATCCCCCAACCCAACGGCAACATTAAAGATATTTAACAACTGGTCCAGCGCAGGCTCTGACCAATCAGAATAGGCGCTGGCTCCCAGCATCCTAATCTTCACCTGAAAAATGAAGATAAGGATAATTCCCACCTCCTGGGGTGGTTGTGAGAGTGAATGAGCTTAGGTGTATAAAGTGCTTATCTCGGGGCCTGCCACAGGAGGGATTCCGTCAGCACTCGCTCTTTCCCTCAGCATCCTTGTTATAATTGGCTCATCATTAACCGAGTCCAAACATATCAAAGGCGCCCCCGCATCTCGGTCATTCTGGATTGTCGCACTCTGGTTGTTTCTGTAGAACACTCACAAGTTGTAATTAATTTGTAATCATAGCCATCTTTGTTTGTTTATTTGTGCATTACCTGACTTCCCTTATAAATTCCCAAGGCCGTGTATCAGGGCACTCTGACTGCTGTAACAAATGACTTCTACACCTCAGTGATTTCACACAGTAGGGGATTATTGTCTTCAGATGGCAGTTCCCTGTGTTTGGTGCACAAGCTTTCCAGATACCCTCCTTCCTCTGCTGAGACCTCCCTGCTGGATCTCCTGCCCCCAGCTGGCAGGGCAGAGAGAGAGTGGGAGCTTCCACAGGGAAGGTTTTCCGTGGACCTGGGCTGGGAACACCTAGCATCACTCCTCCCCACATTCCACTGGCTAGTGCGTCACGGGCCACGCGGCTACAGGGCAGGCTGGCAGATGTAGTCCGTTGTGCCCAGCAGAGGGGGGGAGGGTGTGGTGAGCATCTGGTCAGTCTCCTTGCGGACAGGCATTGCATCTGTGGGTCCAGCATCTACAACAGTGCTGGGCACAGGGTTGATAATGAATAAATATTGTTGAATGAATGAATGAATATGCATTAACCTGTTTAAATCTTTCCTGAGCATTCCAATGGGAAGAGATTAACTTTTTTTCAGAGCATCAGTAGCTCTTATAAACGTTATTATGTATACTAAAAACTTGTGGAAGGATAATTTATGATAGCAGAGCGCTAGTCTTAGCTCTGCCAGTGAGACCCAGCTAAACCTTGGGGAGCCATTTCTCATTTCAGGGCCCGCTTCTCTATCTGCCCAGGGTGTCGCCTGGAGTGCAGAGGTGCTGTGGGGCTTCCTTTCCTACGCCATCAACAGCACTGCTCTGGTTACAGAAGAGACCCCAAAATAAATGTTTCTAGACTGATTTTCTGATCAGCGTAGTTCCATCTGACTGACACGTTCTGGTTCTGGTCTACTCTGAGGGGGATACATTAAAAAGGACTCCCAGCCAGGTGGATAGGAAAGATCTCGATGTTAAAACACAGGCTCCTCTCCCTTCTGCCTCCAAGGGCTGGCAAAAGCATAATTCAGGCGTGCAGTTACCGTTTCAGACTTCCCTCAGCCCTTAATGATGATTGTTCAACAAATATTGTGGTTTGCATAGGAATGGCAGGAAGCTCCTTGACAAGCTTTTTGTTAAGGCCTGAGACTGTTCACGTGGAGGGTTGCCAAATTTAGAAAAATAAATATACAGGATGTGTATTGCATGGGAGGAACATAAAGCACAGAGTTATTTGTTCGTCTTGAATTTTACTTTAACTGGGTGCTCTATATTTTACCTGGTAACCTTACTTATGTGGACCCGTGGTCTCCAGCACTGGCCATGCTAAGACTGGCCATGCTCCATCTCCATTTATTACTAGTTTGAACAGTAGCCAAACTGTCCGGGGCCTTCCAAGATGTGTGAGCTGTCAGAGTAGATGCCTCCTCCTTCCTTACCTGGTGTAAGTTTGTTTCTTGATGACTGACAGGAGTGTTCATCCATTCATTTTCTATCTGCGTTTCAGTGGTTTGTTGGGCAGGTCGCCCCATCTTTCTGTATGTCCTGGCTAGTGGGCCATTTACCTCCCAGCCTTGTGTAGAAGGGACTGTCTTGGCCTCTCCTTCATCTTGCTTCCTACCTGACTGAAGTTACTCAGCCGAGTCTCTAATGGTTGTATTTCCTTTGCCTTTATTGAAATTGGGGTCGACCTTAACATCTGTGAACTGTGTTCAGATTTAATTAAGATACACTTGGTTTAGTCTATAACCACTTATAAATTTTAATTAAAAGGGATATATATTAAACTGAATTATTTTATAAGAACCAATGAATGCATTTGATAAGAAATGTAATTGTGCTTGAAATGCTACAGTTATATATTCTGAAATCCTGATTTCAAAAGGGAAATCATTTTAGGTGACCTTTAGCCTTGAATAACCATTTATGAATGAGGCTTTGATTTTAATTCATATTAGTCTCCTTCCATTATTGGAAAATATTCATTCCTTCAAAATGTGGGTCTATTTAGTACCAGGAACCGTGCGAGTCACCACATTGGAAACTCAATTTTGCAGATTCATAATTGTCTTCCTTTGCCCTTGCTTTTTGTCTTCATAGCCTTTGTGAGCTGATAGCTATCCAGTTGGGTACGAGTAAATCATCTTTTCATTACTCATCGGCAGGTTCAAGTCTATTAGTAGCCAGAAAAATGTTTGGGTAAAGGGCGTCTAAACTGTCTCACTCAGGGAAGAAAATATATCCCTTTTACGCTTTCTATTTTATTTTTAAGTGAAGGCTATGTCTCCTTAGGGAGGCGAAAGAAGGCTGGTTGTGTAAGGATGGGCTATAAACTGCCACACTCTAGTTCATAGGTTGAAACCCCAATCCCCAGTGTGACTGTATTTAGAGATAGGGCTTTTAGGAGAGAAGTAAAGTTAAATGAGGTGACAGGGTGGGGTCCCAGTCTCATAGGATTAGTGGTTTATAAGAAAAGGAAGAAACACCAGATCTC